TCAACAAATAATTTATTTTGTCCGACTTAACAAAAAAAATGAAACAACTTATCGCACTAAAAACGACAAAAGCTACAAAAAAAGTGGATTGAAGACCGGAATCCCTGCCTTTTACCTTTAGAATAAAAAAGACTAGGGCTTCAAGTAAACTTCGACCACCTAATGCTTTCCATCCTATAGAACGCAAGCGTAAGCATTAAATTATCCCTCAGTTAAGAGATTAAACTTTATGATGTGACGAAGGAAACCAAAACAAGATAAAACTATTTAGAATAGAAATACTTAGTGATAATTAATTATTATTCGCTATAAAACCGTTGATCCACCATCCAAAAATACTTTTCATTCTTCAAAAGTTTCGACATGGTAGAGTACAGAAAAAACTATCACAGTAAAAGTACAGATCCTTCTCAAGACGTACTAAGAGCTTGCAGCTTTCTCTTTCTCCTCTCGATTTCTTTCCAATGCAGCAGCAAATTTTTTTGCAGCAACTCTGTCTTCATCAGTTACCTAAAAAATAGACCATAGATTAGACCATAGAACAAACTCATTCATCAGAATTTAATTTGTCAGATCCAAACCTCTCTGTTGACTATTTTATATGCTTTTGCACCAGGCTTAATGAAGAAATCCAGGGCTCCCTCGCTGTAAGTAAAAGTATCCTATAAAAATTTAGATGAAACCACTAAAAGAATGTAAAATTAACGCGTCAACCGATTCGCATCTTGCTAGGTTGAAACTAGTATTTCTGACGAACAACGAATTTACAACAAAACTTAGGGATTTCTAACAACAAATACTTTAACACATAAAATCTTAAACTTCCTGCTTTCTTTATAAACTAAAAAATGGTTCATTATGAAAAACATTAAAATATTACCTTTCCAAATGGAAATTTAGTTACGTACTCAATCAGGCGTAACTTCATGACCTTTAGCCTCCAAAGTATAACAACCTTTCCGTCACATATGTAAGACCCTAAAAGCTGAAAAATTCAGAGGTTAGAAGCTAAAACCCAAAAACCATTAAAAAAAGAAATCAAACTGCAAAATTAAAAACGAATTATATAACTGAAAAACAATTAGAGCAAACCTCAGTTTTTTTAAAAGGCGACTTAAAATGGAAATAACTTCGAACTTTCAAGACGTGTTTCAAAAAACTGCCTGCGCCTCTGCAAAAAAAACGAAACATTTTTGTCGAGTAACTATAACTTTCTTAGAAAATGTAAATAAAAAAACTTCTCATCTTAGGCAGGCAAAACAAAAAAAAAATATTTATCTATTAAAAATTTGACATATTATTTTACTTGGTTCGGTAATTGTAGATACGATCTTCAAATCCTACATCATCTGCCAAGATAAATGATAGCTCACTGCAGTGATGGACCATAAAAACAGGGGTCTTAAAGAACGAAGAACTCAGTAAACATTAATTAGTTGAAACATTAAAAGGCTCACATACACAATTCTTCAAATTGAACGAGTTCACAACTCCTAATCATTAATGTTAACAACTACAGATAACAAAAATCTTCTCGAGTTCAATTTCCTACGAATTTTTCGCACAAGGTCAACCTAAAACCTTTTGCTAACATGCTAGTTGTTAACAGTTGTCTAGTGGCACAGATAAAAGTATTGGCGTTGAAGTACAGATTTGAAAGCGGATTTCAAAGCTGGTAGAAAAAGAAACCATACTATTTGCTTAAGAAGAGTATGTACAGTAACAAGGTCTTTCTCGTCTGGAAGTTCATTAGCTGAGACTTCCTTCGAAGAAACTTCTTCTTCTAGTAATCCGGAACTGTAGGACAAGCGCCGTAGTGGCTGTCTATGGGAGAATCCATTTGAAAGTAGAGCTATCTAAAAAAATGATTTAATAGCCTAATCTTACAACATACTAATGGCAACTAAGAATTAAAAACTAGTGGTTTCAAAAAGGTTGCAGTTACCTTGCTTTTCAGCGTCCTTCTAGATGTGAAGGTTGAACAGAGCAGTACTGATCGTCTCCAACATCCATCTTTCAAAGCTGGTGAAGCAGCTGTCAAAAAAACTGTTCGACGTAACATTTATTTTATAAGCGCACCTTCAAATCCAGTTATGGCTTTCTAGTATGGTAAAAACACGATGTTTTTATTGCAAGAATCGAAGGTCTAGTTTCACTACCTAAAAACTACACAAGTATTTAGTGAGATGAATAATTATCGCATAATTTGACAAAAATTGTTCATTCGCCAAGTAGTAAAAAGGAAGACAGACCGTATAAACAGATGTGGCCCAAGATATGCAACAGAAACAAGCATAAAATGTTGTTTTCTACAAAATAGGTGAAAAGGATATAATATGCATAAGGTGTTAACTGAAAAAATGAAAGTTGCAGCGAACCGGTCAACTATTATATACTGACAGTGGATTA